AAAATACGGTGCATTTTTTCATGTGTTCGGGTCATTGTAAAACGTTTTTGTCATAACTTTTATATTTTGAGGATCTTGCGCCGTTACTTATTCAACTTCGGATTTAACACATACAGTTAAAATAGTTACAATTGAATAGAAAGCTACTTAATGCAGGTGCTATTTTTAAATTGACAATTTTACTTATTATTTTTTTATACTTTGCAATAGTTCCAATATGTAGAATGCTACTCCAGGCAGGTGTTAAAAATGAATGAAATGCATTTTCAGCCAAGTTGACGGCTTGGTTGTTTATTCTTTTTGTTTCTACAGGGACTGTTCAAGCTGGCTCTATTTTTCAATTATTTTCTAAGGCATTTCCTCAATTTAAATTGGTTTTAAATTTAGTCCGTCACTCCCTACCAATTTGGAAACAAAAACTTGAATATTTTTTGACGTTTCGTATTTTTCCAATAGCTAATCTAAATGTGTTCCTTACTGAATGGTCACACTGGTATGGCAGGTATTTGTCAGTATTCTATTAAGAATATTCTTAAGTTATTTTTACTGTAAGCTCAGCCCACTTGGTCTTCTTTAACATGGTGCGTCCAATCACTAACTCTCTTCACCCTTGCTCTTAATTCTTCTTCCTCTAGGTTTATTAGGATAGGACTGTTATTGAAGATGTTTTTAAAATATTAATTCTAATCGCCTCTAGCTGCTTCAAGAACCTTCTAATAAACGGCTTTTAAATGACATTTATATTTTATTAGCTAACCCGACAAGCAAGGAAATATAATGGGCAAGGAAAATAGGATTGTTGATAATCATGCATGTTGGTGAAAAATTCACTTCTGCATCATCACAGAATATTTTTGGTTATTTACATTAAATTCGTAATGTAAGAAGTGGTTGACTAGAGGTTACCCACGATTGGAACACGCGCATGTAGAAAAAAGAAACCCTGGTGTGATATCCACTATTATTTTAATCACTAAAGAATACCTAGCTATAAATTTACACTTGTTACTGTTATCGTGAGTCCCACAAAGTGGAAGCTCCTGATAATCAAGCAACCTAGTTATAAATCAGTCCCAATAAAGGTCCCACGCAGTGGAAGCATAAATCTTAAGCTGATTACCTACTACAAGATTCCTTACAAAACATAGTTAGCTTCAGGAGGTCATTCATCCGCGGAGACTCTTAACACCGCGATGCAGAATTGATCCGTACAACGCCATCTGTCGGCGCCGATGATAACTATTTTTGGTTTGTCGTGTTACAGTAATCCTATATAGTTAAGAGTATTTGGCGGCCTAGCAATGAAATGATTTTCCTCCAGGATTTCAAGACATTCATTTATTAGTAAAAGCAATAATTGGTTAAGAGTCAAACTTATCAAGTTTATTAATCTGTCATAGTTTTATTGCGTAGAGTATAAAAACGTATATTTACAGTTACAAACTTTATGTACCTACCGACATTGTTTTTTTTTAGTTTTTAGAATTTTCGTGTAATTTTTATTTAAATTAATTATTACTTAGTATAAAGAATTATATAACAAATATAATAGGTATTCATCTGAATAGAAGATTTGATAGGTTTCTGCACTATAATTAGGAATCTACTATGCGACTTTTTTTTTTAATTCATATAAGTTGCATATCGAATAAGATATATAATATAACAAACATCCTTGAATATAAAATACCTTTTTGTATTTTACTATTTTTTTAACAAATGCCATCCATAATGCATAATAAAGTTTACGGAAGCGCTTTGATTATTTAAGCGCAGGTTAATCACTATAGGCCGACCGTTTACCTGAGTCCTCGCCTGCGCGGTAACAGGGGCGCGGGGGTATGACGACAAAGGGGACTGGAGACAGGTGCGGGCGGCGAGCGAATTTTTGTAATCGCTCATTTCAATCGCAACGCGGACAGCGATCGCACGTGTTAATTGTTACAAACGCCTTGTGAGAGATACACATGTGATAACAATCTCAAGATGAATCGTAAGATCTTTATTCATCCCGTAGGTATCGTAAGAGCCGACTAACGGAGCAAAATACGTAGAATAACAGCACTGCAGAGAGAAGGAAAACTTGACACAAACGCTGAGCCAACCCGTGTGGCCAGCGTAGCTTAGGAGGCCAAAACCTCGCTTTTAAGGAGAGGCCTATATCCAGTAGTGGACTATTGAAGGCTGTTTTAGCTTTTTTCTTTTATCGCCGGCCGCCTGCTTGTCTCCAAATTATAAAGTACAACTATAAAGTTAAAACGATTATTAAGAAAAATGTGAAATCCATTCCCATTAAATTTTACAGTATATGATCATCTCTGGATGATATCACAGTATTGAGTGTGTAAATATAACATCACTCATTATTATAGTTAAATATATCCACAATTAGTACAAATAAACATTAAACTGATTAGTAAGTAGTGCATTAAAAACATTGCATTAAAAACAATAAAACCCGAAATGTAAGTTCAAACTTAGCGTTCAAACAAATGACTACACAACGCATTCCTAACTTGAACCCTCATCAACATTAATAATAATGTTTTGTGTCTCACAATATATGAGAAAATATTTTTCCTCTGTTTTGTTCAATGCTTTTAATGATTATTTGGAATTAGGGCGGGGGCAAATCTAACAAATCAAATATCATGAAAATCGGTCCAGCCGTTCTTGTACTATAAATGGTGTAACTAAACCAACTTTGCTTTATATATAAACAAAATAGGACTTGTTAGAAATATGTTTTAGCACGTTATTCGCTTAAGTGTTATACCTATTATAGTATCTCATATTATGAATCCTTATTTAGCGCTCTGATAAATTTATTAAGGTCATGATTATTTTGATTGTTGCTGCCTCCTTTCTAAGGAGAGACCTATATCCATCAGTGGGCTATTAAAGGCTGTTGATGATTCGTTTTGCTGAATAATTTCTCATTTTTGGCCGATATCATGTTACGCTGGAAGACTACCTTTCTGTTACCTATAAATGATAAAATACATCCATTTATCTTTGACATGAAGGAGTAGATTAATTTAGCTTCGAATATCGAAACCCATGTGTTCCAGCTAGACCATTAGTCTTTACAATATCAATTTCATTTGCTAACCGAAATAATATTTTTAGCAATCTTAGGTACATGTAACACTCCTTCTAAAGTACAGGTGTCAGTAATACAACTACCAATTGCTTCTGCATTAATCATCATATTATCAGCGCAAGCTATAGCTGTATTTAAAGATTTCAAATTGTATAACAGTGATGTAGCACCAGAATCTAAAACAGCGTCTATACTCACATTATTTGGTTTATGATTATTACTGCTTCTATTTTTTTAATTAAAGCATCTATCCGCAGTATGGCCAGGTCTCTTACAGAAAGAGCAGAAAAAAATTTGAAGTTTTATTCCTATTGCAATTACAAGTGCAGTTATATTGCCGTGCGAAATTATTTTTAGGACAGAACTTGGCAATGTGCTCCTTAGACTTACATTTAAAGCACTCCCTCTCATTTGCTTAAAACACAGTTGTAGCTGTATTTGCCTTTTCTAACCTCTCTTCTTTGTAAAGCTTAGAGACAAGGTTCTCCACAGTTCTATTCTCAGATGGAGTTGCATCCCACTCTAATCTAAATCTAAGCTTTCAATTCAGCTGGTAATATCGACATAACTTTCGTTTTTATTTCTACATTCGATAATTTAGAAAGAAAAGAAAGAAAGAAAAATACTTTAATTGGCACATTTTACAGGATTGTTACAAATTACAACAGAGACATGTATAAAATACATCTGTACCAATATGGACCACGACCAGCATAATGCTAGGCGCAATGCACCTAGCGCTGGTTTTCAGCGCAGTGTTGTCCGCGTGTCTGTTAGATAGAATAAATATTCGATCATTATGATAGTCTAGTATGGCATGTTATAAAGAAATATTGGTTTGAGAATATTCCGAGAACGATAGTGATTGCATAATAACTTGATTAATAGGAAAACATTTAAATATATAATGAGTACTAATTGGATAACAATTTTATTGAATTAAGACATTATGACCATGATAGTAAAGATATAATAATTTCTAGTTATTAATAAAATAAGGTGAGATACGGCACAGCACGGCATCCAAGGTCATGGCACGCACGTACATTTTATATCACGCTAAAAGTTACTCTGACGTCTTCGAAATCCTTCTGATGCTCCAGTAAGAATTCCTTCAATTTCGTTTTGAAAGAATACGCACTTGGTCTTCTTTTTATGGGAGGAGGGATATTATTCCAGCATTCGACGCACAGTAACGAAAACTACCCTTAAAGGCAGTTGTCCTATGATGAGGTATTGAAAGCTGCAATGAGCATTCTCTACTCATATTTTCGTTGTGCCTAAATGTCCACTTTAACTTGTTATATAAATAGGACGGTGTACGGAAGTTAATTACGCCAAATAGGAGACTTGCCATATAAAGTCTTCGACGCGCATGCATTTTAAAATGTTGCGCTTATTAAAAAAACCTAACACTAAGACTTCAGTTTATTTACTAGAAGCTCAATACGCCCGATAGTCGTCAGCATATCGTCATATATTCGACGATATTTATTTATTGGAATCGTTAAGCGCATCACTGTCGGATATTTCTTTAAGTAGTGAGTACAAATTTTAAAATCGCCCGGCGAGCTTACGAGCGATTTCGTTTGCGACACACATTTTACACCGATCGACGTAACATTAACTCGTACGATGCACACATAGATAGACATACACAATTTTATTACGATGCTTACTGGGGCAAGACCGCGGCCGGCCGAGCTCGTCGTGTAAAATTAATACAAATTTCATTATATAAAATTAAAAAAACGACATCGGACCGCAGAAATGATACAAAAATTATAATATTAATGACTGTACACTATCTAATATATACAATATCTGCCAGCATATATATGTGCGGGGGCTTTATATACAGGACGGTGGGGTTGTCATGGGCTCCCACACGAGGCGATCACACGTTATAGTCATGCGCGATCAGCCCGTGCACCTGCTCGAGGCGGTACGCGAGCCGCTGTTTCTGCGAGAACTCGTCCTCCTCGAGGGTCACCGTTAGTTGCTCGTTGTACCTCTCTGCATACGCGTACGGCTCCACCCACTCCTTGTAAACCGGTATGTCTTTCGAGTACAAAAGTTTGGACGATGGGGAATCTTTACCAAGAATGTGATCTGAAGTGTAACACGAGTCCATGAAAGTTTGCGCAATGACTGATAAGCAAGAATCTACCGTGTTAGACTTATGAACCAAGAATATGACATTAGTCTGAACAAATAAAACAGATATTCCAAATTTAAAGTAATTTAAACCTTTATGTATTATAAACTAAACAGATCAGAGTTGACATCAGAACCAGTATGTATACTCTGAGATTACCAATCAACAATCATATCATTAAATGCGTCTTACTTTTAATTCTTTGAGGCCCATTGACAAGTGTGTTCTATGTTAACGTGAAACAAGATGAAACGATTCTTAAGCAGTGATTTCTATTCCTTTTAGTGCAAAATGAAACATATTTTAAGATGGTTTGTTACTGAGTAATTTCGAAAGATTATTCTTAGATATTTCTAATATTCCAGGCCGATATATTAGTAACTGCTACGCAACGAATGGGAACTACTTTAAAATTTAGTTCATTGTTATTTACTTGTTTAAATTAAAATCGACTTTAATCTTTTGGTTTATGGTAAAAGTATAATATTATTCTAGTAATATACATTTTAAAATATAAAAACAGTAATTTTTTTGTTGTTTTCAATATTAATTTTATATAATTATAGGCGAGCAACTGGTTTCTTAATGTGTTTATATTGCTACACTAGCCATTAATCTATTATATTCAAATTCACATAAATATGTATAAGAAAAGTCTTTTCATAAAAAAGGATAATAATGTCGATCAAGAGGAAACGAAATCTAGAACAGACAAAGTTTAAATCAGTGCTCGAGATTATTTTCAACTGAATAAAATTCGAAACGCGTTCTATTGCTATATATCCAAAATAAGATTGATGCTGAAGTGTTAATCGGAATAAAAAATTAAGTAATATTAATTCAGCCTATTACCGTCCACTGCTGAATGAAGGCCTCCCTCAAGAGCGCCAACCATCCCGGTCTTAGGCAGTCCACATCCATCCGCAGCCACCTTTTTTCCTCAAGTCATCGGCCCATTGTGCCGCATGGAACACTATACTACGTTTTGCCCAATCGTGGTCTCCTCTCTAGCACATGTCGGTCCCAGCGACCATCAGTCTGCCTGGAGACATGACCGACCCACTTCCACTTCAGCGTACTGATTCTCGGTGCGATGTCGATTACTCCAGTTCTCTGCCGACTTCTTTTATTTCGAATTTTGTCGACTACAGAAACACCAAGCATCGCACGCTTTATCGCACGCTTCATCGCCCGCTGAGAGACTTCGAACTTGTGAACCAGTCCAATAGTGAGTGTACACGTCTCGGCTCTGTGTGTCAATACATAAATCTTCAGCTACTTCATCTTCATAGGAATTCTTGACAGCTTTCTCAATTATACATAAATCTGGGTACTGGTCATCAAATTCCTTTCCATAAGTATTACCCCAGCCAAGTTCTTAACAACTTTAAACCAACTTTAGTAAAGGTACTCTTCTCTGAAACTACTTTTCTTCCAACAAATTCGGTGCCGTTATAAATTACGTAAAACTTTTTGAAATCATCATATCTCCCATTTCTTCGTATGATATCTAGACACTTACTATAATCCGGTTCCTTAATACAATCAATGACGGACGCTAGTCCATCCACATCACGCATATCGAGTGATCCAAAGTCGACTGCCAATGTACAGATAGGGCTGCAAAAATGCGGTAACAAAACTAAACAAATAAAACTCATCTAGGTAGGCGAGATATCTCAACCTAAAATCGAACCTAAAACCTAAAATCAAATACCGGTAGGACGCGCTGGTTAAACGCTTCAGTTTTTTAGCGATTGCGAGATCGTCGCCTTGAAGATATGATAAAGCTTCCCATATGCTACCCAGCCACGACGAATTCTTCTATCGGCCTCCCCGATCGAAGTTGTGCCATCCAAGTTGGATAGCATTTAGCCATGATAGACGTATTCTTACACAAACTCGATAGTAGCGCCATTCACTTGGGGATACACGTCTATTATACATAATCTTGGTCTTACTAATGTTCATCCTCAGTCCAACTCTTGAGACCAGAATGCACGAGTTCCAGAAGGAAGTCTCTCAGTCTCAGAATCCAGGTGATGCGCTCCGATTCCACCCTGGCGATGGCTCTTTTGAGGGATCTGGAGGCAAAGTTGTATTGCTTTTTTAGGGTAGGGATGTTTCACATCACCTTTCGTCGCTGCACAAGCCCATACTTGGTAACATTCCTCGTTTCGGCAGGACGCCGTTTTGTAGGATCTGTTGAACCAAGGCTCTGCCACCAATGGGAACGAGTGTAGATGGAACAAATAGTTCCATGCCCTCAATCACTACATCAGTGACAGAATCGGCAACGACGTTGGGATCACCCGGCATGAAACAAATCCACCTCCATGAGTGAGCGCTGACCTATAGCTGACCATATGCGACGGCAGCCTATAACTTCCTCGCCGCGGTGAGCACATGAGTGGCATCATACACGGTATTAGGCAATGATCCGAAGAGCCAAGTGCGGCCTCATCAGTCTTTATAGCCGTACGGATCAGAGAAAAAGATCTTGGTTCAAAACTGATTTCGTACAAAGATGATTTTTTTCCTTTTCGACTTATTACGTACCATTAGTTTTGACGGCAGCCGAAGGGGATTGGCCAGAGAACTTTCCCGGCGTGATTCAGGGTTAGTAGTTACTCTGTAGTTCGGTCTCTTTGTTTGATTGTATTAAAGTTAAAGTATGTTTTTTGTAAAAGTTGCATTCCATGTGGAAGTCGCCACTAGTACATCAGTATACATGTACCCTACAGTCTTGCAGACAAAATTTCCTTTAAACTTTGCCACGTACTGCATCTAGTACTGAACGCTCCTGTATTTTAGCTATCCTTTGATTTATAGCTGCCTGGTAATACGCTTGGCCCTGTGCCATAGTATATTGATTGCCACTTTAAGAATGTTACAATTAAAATACAAGTTTCTCGAACAAATTGGCAAATAGAAGTTTATTTTTAGAAGGCAGACAAAATGTTTTATATAAAAAGAAGATTAAGGGTTCTTCATTCATTATTCTTCAAACATTATATTTTATAATGCGGTTTCCTAATTATGATTAAGTGAAAAAGAAAAAACCCAATAAAATATCATATCTTAGTACTTCAGTTATGAGGAGTTCAATTTACTTAGCTAGAAAATGTTATTTATTTTATCCGGGGACAAGCCTAAAGCCACGGCTTGCGGTCAACCTTAACTCTCTTTGCCAATTTTCACACTATTTGAATAACAAATCTCAGTTCTGGATATAAATTCCCTTCTTGTAATTTCCTGCTATAGGTAACTTGAAAATATTATACAGGAGAGATTGAGACTGGTACAGTAAAATACGGTGCATTTTTTCATGTGTTCGGGTCATTGTAAAACGTTTTTGTCATAACTTTTATATTTTGAGGGATCTTGCGCGCCGTTACTTATTCAACTTCGGATTTAACACATACAGTTAAAATAGTTACAATTGAATAGAAAGCTACTTAATGCAGGTGCTATTTTTAAATTGACAATTTTACTTATTATTTTTTTTATACTTTGCAATAGTTCCAATATGTAGAATGCTACTCCAGGCAGGTGTTAAAAATGAATGAAATGCATTTTCAGCCAAGTTGACGGCTTGGTTGTTTATTCTTTTTGTTTCTACAGGGACTGTTCAAGCTGGCTCTATTTTTCAATTATTTTCTAAGGCATTTCCTCAATTTAAATTGGTTTTAAATTTAGTCCGTCACTCCCTACCAATTTGGAAACAAAAACTTGAATATTTTTTGACGTTTCGTATTTTTCCAATAGCTAATCTAAATGTGTTCCTTACTGAATGGTCACACTGGTATGGCAGGTATTTGTCAGTATTCTATTAGAATATTCTTAAGTTATTTTTACTGTAAGCTCAGCCCACTTGGTCTTCTTTAACATGGTGCGTCCAATCACTAACTCTCTTCACCCTTGCTCTTAATTCTTCTTCCTCTAGGTTTATTAGGATAGGACTGTTATTGAAGATGTTTTTAAAATATTAATTCTAATCGCCTCTAGCTGCTTCAAGAACCTTCTAATAAACGGCTTTTAAATGACATTTATATTTTATTAGCTAACCCGACAAGCAAGGAAATATAATGGGCAAGGAAAAATAGGATTGTTGATAATCATGCATGTTGGTGAAAAATTCACTTCTGCATCATCACAGAATATTTTTGGTTATTTACATTAAATTCGTAATGTAAGAAGTGGTTGACTAGAGGTTACCCACGATTGGAAACACGCGCATGTAGAAAAAAGAAACCCTGGTGTGATATCCACTATTATTTTAATCACTAAAGAATACCTAGCTATAAATTTACACTTGTTACTGTTATCGTGAGTCCCACAAAGTGGAAGCTCCTGATAATCAAGCAACCTAGTTATAAATCAGTCCCAATAAAGGTCCCACGCAGTGGAAGCATAAATCTTAAGCTGATTACCTACTACAAGATTCCTTACAAAACATAGTTAGCTTCAGGAGGTCATTCATCCGCGGAGAACTCTTAACACCGCGATGCAGAATTGATCCGTACAACGCCATCTGTCGGCGCCGATGATAACTATTTTTGGTTTGTCGTGTTACAGTAATCCTATATAGTTAAGAGTATTTGGCGGCCTAGCAATGAAATGATTTTCCTCCAGGATTTCAAGACATTCATTTATTAGTAAAAGCAATAATTGGTTAAGAGTCAAACTTATCAAGTTTATTAATCTGTCATAGTTTTATTGCGTAGAGTATAAAAACGTATATTTACAGTTACAAACTTTATGTACCTACCGACATTGTTTTTTTTTTAGTTTTTAGAATTTTCGTGTAATTTTTATTTAAATTAATTATTACTTAGTATAAAGAATTATATAACAAATATAATAGGTATTCATCTGAATAGAAGATTTGATAGGTTTCTGCACTATAATTAGGAATCTACTATGCGACTTTTTTTTTTTTAATTCATATAAGTTGCATATCGAATAAGATATATAATATAACAAACATCCTTGAATATAAAATACCTTTTTGTATTTTACTATTTTTTTAACAAATGCCATCCATAATGCATAATAAAGTTTACGGAAGCGCTTTGATTATTTAAGCGCAGGTTAATCACTATAGGCCGACCGTTTACCTGAGTCCTCGCCTGCGCGGTAACAGGGGCGCGGGGGTATGACGACAAAGGGGACTGGAGACAGGTGCGGGCGGCGAGCGAATTTTTGTAATCGCTCATTTCAATCGCAACGCGGACAGCGATCGCACGTGTTAATTGTTACAAAACGCCTTGTGAGAGATACACATGTGATAACAATCTCAAGATGAATCGTAAGATCTTTATTCATCCCGTAGGTATCGTAAGAGCCGACTAACGGAGCAAAATACGTAGAATAACAGCACTGCAGAGAGAAGGAAAACTTGACACAAACGCTGAGCCAACCCGTGTGGGCCAGCGTAGCTTAGGAGGGCCAAAACCTCGCTTTTAAGGAGAGGCCTATATCCAGTAGTGGACTATTGAAGGCTGTTTTAGCTTTTTTCTTTTATCGCCGGCCGCCTGCTTGTCCTCCAAATTATAAAGTACAACTATAAAGTTAAAAACGATTATTAAGAAAAATGTGAAATCCATTCCCATTAAATTTTACAGTATATGATCATCTCTGGATGATATCACAGTATTGAGTGTGTAAATATAACATCACTCATTATTATAGTTAAATATATCCACAATTAGTACAAATAAACATTAAACTGATTAGTAAGTAGTGCATTAAAAACATTGCATTAAAAACAATAAAACCCGAAATGTAAGTTCAAACTTAGCGTTCAAACAAATGACTACACAACGCATTCCTAACTTGAACCCTCATCAACATTAATAATAATGTTTGTGTCTCACAATATATGAGAAAATATTTTTCCTCTGTTTTGTTCAATGCTTTTAATGATTATTTGGAATTAGGGCGGGGGCAAATCTAACAAATCAAATATCATGAAAATCGGTCCAGCCGTTCTTGTACTATAAATGGTGTAACTAAACCAACTTTGCTTTATATATAAACAAAATAGGACTTGTTAGAAATATGTTTTAGCACGTTATTCGCTTAAGTGTTATACCTATTATAGTATCTCATATTATGAATCCTTATTTAGCGCTCTGATAAATTTATTAAGGTCATGATTATTTTGATTGTTGCTGCCTCCTTTCTAAGGAGAGACCTATATCCATCAGTGGGCTATTAAAGGCTGTTGATGATTCGTTTTGCTGAATAATTTCTCATTTTTGGCCGATATCATGTTACGCTGGAAGACTACCTTTCTGTTACCTATAAATGATAAAATACATCCATTTATCTTTGACATGAAGGAGTAGATTAATTTAGCTTCGAATATCGAAACCCATGTGTTCCAGCTAGACCATTAGTCTTTACAATATCAATTTCATTTCTTGGTTTTGTACTCGTATTACTTTTATAAGGTGAGAGCATTATTCTTTTGGCCACCTTACCAGCAGTCTTAGTACATGATTTTCTGACAGAATTTAAAGTCAAATATACGAGTCTTCTTCTCCGTCTCTCAACAGGAATAAATTTGCCCGTT